GAAATGTCCTTATACTGGACACAAAGTTTAACATCATCCGCATACATGAGTACTCGAGAGTTTGTTAATACTGAAGGCAGATCAATAAAGAATGTGAATAGTAGGGGGCCTAGATGGCTGCCCTGTGGTACTCCAGAAGTAACCTTAACAGGTGAAGAGAAGAGGACTCTTTGAGACCTAGAACGAAGGTAGCTAGAAATCCATCTCAAAAGATTAGGCGGAAACCCTAAAAGGTCAAGTTTTTGTGCTAAAAGGGAATAGTTTACAGAATCGAATGCTTTACTAAAATCATTGTAAATGACATCCGTCTGCAAGTTACCTTGAAAGCCTTTAATGATAAAAGAGGTAAACTCTAATAAATTTGTGGTTGTTGATCGTCGCCTTATAAATCCGTGCTGCAAGTGCGTTGCAAGTGCGGAGTTAAAATTTTTTCACATCTGCATCAGACTTGCTACCTTTCTTATGGAGCGGAATAATAAAAGATTCCTTCCAGATGGGGGGGGGGGAAGCATGAAGAGTTAATGGATAGGGTGAATAGTTTAAGCAAGGGTCCACACAGAGCGTCGGCACAGTACCTAAGTACACAGCCGGGAACTCCGTCGGAACCTGGTGAAAACACCGGCTTAACTAGTCGAAGATCATGAAGCAGTGAGCTTTCATTTAACAAGGGGCTGAAGATGCCATTCGAGAACATTCGAGAACATTCGAAATAATTAGCGACCATAAGCCGTTAGTATGGTTAAACAACCTCAAAGAACCAAATATGAAACTACAAAAGTGGAAGATCAAATTAAACGAATTCGACTTCAAATATTCGACGGACGCCCTTTCCCGAGTTAAAGTTAACGAAAACCTACTCGAAGAAGTCTCTGACAGTGCAGGCGCCACAATACACAGTGCGCAAGAAGACAATCTCAATCATATTCCCATTACAGAACGACCAATCAACTATTTCAATCGCAAGATTGAGTTGATCAAGGGAGATGAAGATAAAGTAACTACACAACACTATTTCCATAAATTGATTATCAAAATCACATACAAGGAAATGACCAAAACCTTGGCTAAAGAACTCATTAAGGAATATCTATGTACCAAAAAGAGTGCATTTTATTTCCATAACGAGACTGATTTCCCAACTTTCCAACAAGCGTATTTGGAAATTATCAGTCCAATCAATTTCACAAAAGTTATGAAATCAAGTTCAAAACTCATAGATATACCCAATTACGCGGAATTCAAAGAATTGATAATGAAAAACCATAAAGAATTACTTCACCCTGGAATAGAGAAAACCATTAATTGGTTTAAGGGAAAATACTACTACCCTGACCACCAAAAATTGATACAAAATATAATAAACGAATGCACAACGTGTAATATTGCCAAGACTGAGCATAGAAACACCAAGTTGTCATTTGAAGTAACACCGGAAGTCTTAAACATCCGAGAACGGTACGTAATGGACTTCTATCTGATAGGTGACCAACAGTTCCTATCATGTATCGATATATACTCAAAATTCGCTACACTAATAGAAGTGAACAGTCGTGACTGGTTAGAAACCAAAAGGGCGATACTAAAAGTCTTTAATGAAATGGGAAAACCCCAAGAAATTAAAGCCGACAAAGATTCAGCCTTTATGTGCGCAGCATTGCAAGCATGGCTTATCTTGGAAGATGTCAAGATCCTAATCACATCCAGTAAAAATGGAATATCAGACGTTGAAAGATTCCATAAAACGGTGAACGAAAAATTGAGGATCATATCTAGTGAGATTGACCTCGAAAACAAATACACTAAATTTGAACTAATAATATACACATAAAATCACACGACCCGACATAATACTACCAACAGAACAGCTGCAGATATATTCATATACGGAGGAAGTCCAGAGTACGACACTCAACTGAACAAGGTGAATCAGATCACCCAGTTGAACCAAAGTCGTAAAGACTTCGAAGTAGACACTAGGTTTAGAAAATCACCTCTAGTGAAGTCCAAAATAACTAACCCTTTCAAAAAGACGGGTGAAATAACCAAAATAGATGAAAAACACTACGAAGTAAAGAATAGGGGAAGAAAGATAACACATTACAAAACCAAATATAAAAAGAAAAAGAAAATTAATATTAGCAAATATTACTTCTGGAGTACCACAGGGCAGCCATCTAGGCCCCCTACTATTCACACTCTTTATTAATGATCTGCCTTCAGTATTAACAAACTCTCGAGTACTCATGTATGCGGATGATGTTAAACTTTGTGTCCAGTATAAGGACATTTCATTTCACTCTCGCTTGCAATCCGATCTCAATAACTTTCAATCATGGTGTTGTGCAAATATGTTACACCTAAATGCCTCGAAATGCAAAGTAATGACATTTCATCGCTCCAGCCCCCTTTTGGCTCCATATAGCCTCTGCGGTGGTTCTCTTGAGAGAATTACCTTGGTTGATGATCTTGGTGTTAAATTAGACCCAAAGTTGAAGTTTTCTGAACACATTTCTACCATGGTAAATAAGGCCATGGGTGTGCTTGGGTTTATAAAGAGGTGGTCAAAGGAATTTGACGACCCCTATATAACGAAGACTCTCTATATCTCGCTTGTTCGTCCGATTTTAGAATACGGCTCTTGTGTATGGTGCCCTCAGTACAAAGTACACCAGGACCGTATAGAATCAGTCCAGAAAAACTTTTTACTTTTTGCTCTGCGTGGCCTTAACTGGGATGCAGGTGTGAGACTGCCATCTTATCCTCGTAGATTGCTTTTAATAAACCTTCCAACCTTAGTTAGTCGTAGAAAAATGCTTGGTGTGATTTTTATGCACAACCTGATCAAGGGTGATGTAGATAGCCCTGACTTGTTGAGCCGCATAAACTTTACGATTCCTATTAGATCTACTAGAAACTTCATTCCTCTTTTCCTTCCGCTTTGTAGATCGAATTATTCCTTGCACGAACCATTTAGGGTACTTTGCTCGGACTTCAATTCCCTTTACCACATAATATCAACTACTAATTCCCTTCCTCTTCTTAAATCACTAATACTAACATACCTTTCCCGTAATTAGTTATATTTTTTAGCTATCTTTGCATGCTTAGCTCTTTGAGTTGTGTTTAGCTCTAATTTTCCTCGAATTTTAGTCTAACACCTATCTTTCCTGCATGCTCGCGATCGGTTCGGTAACACGCGTCGCGCGTCATGCGGCAGCGCCCCTCGGTCGGTTGGGCGGGAGGAGGGCTGCGTTTCTGCCTGGGTTCCGCGCGTAACAGGCTTCGGCTTGGTGTCGCATGGGCCACTTGATGGTGCAGTCATTGCATATCAACGTCCAGACAAAAAAAAAAAAAAATACGATAATTCCAGGCCGCCCATCGAATCGGAAGGTAACGATCAGCGGCAACATAATTAAAATCATCGTCCTCATGACATTAATGGTCCTTACAACAGAAGGACAAAATATTGAAATAAATCCGATTAAGTCCAGAAACGGATACCTCATATTTAAAACGGGATCAATCGACCTCCCGATTAACTATGAATACCATTACTTAACAGTTAATGTAACAAAAACCGAAGAAACCTATCAAAACCTTTTAGTAATGGCTAATAAATTTCAAAATGTAATCCAAGTAAAATACCTAGTAGATAAATTAAATAGGGAAATAAATGGCTTAAAAATTACTAAACGCAACAAGAGAGGCCTAATAAATATCGTAGGTACCGCCTATAAATACTTATTTGGCACATTAGATCAAGAAGATAGGAAATAATCAGAACAGAGAATAGAAAATCTCGCCTCACATAGCATCCAAACAAACGAACTAAATTTAGTTATAGAAGTAGTAAACCACGGAATTGAGATAATAAACCAATTAAACGAAGAAAACAACAAAAATCAACAATTAGAAATTAGAATACATAGAGGATATAGAAACGGGAATGCAACTAACTAGACTTGGTATTTTCAACCCAAAACTACTAGAACAAGATTACCTGAAACAAATAAATTCTGAGATATTATTAAATATTAAAACTTCTACATGGCTAAAAGTTGATACAAACGAAATCTATATAATCTCAAATATTCCGAGCGAAATTGCTAATATCCCAGTATTCAAAATTGTACCATATCCAGATAACCAAAATAATATTTTAACGGAATTAATATTCGATAAATATTATAGTTACGAAGACAAAATATATAGCATAGAAACTAAGCAAATAATAGAAGACAATTGTATAAAAGGGATTTTAAAACAAAAACCCACTAAATGTCCATACACAAGTCCATCCTTTATATAAAAAGTTCGAGAAGTAAAAAACAGTACAAGCAGTCAAAAGGCTCTTTTGGTTTTAAATGTTTATAAATTACAAAAGGGGCCGAAGTGGGGTGTAAACCAGCATCTCCTCAAAACATTGGTGACCCCGACGTGATCTTGCTTCTCGTCTTGCCGCATATCTTACTTTCGATATTCATTGCTCTCTTGCCGCTGCAGCAGAGACACTAAATACATGTACAGACATATGTACATACATATTTCGTACACGGGCTCGACTGAGCGCTACTCTCTATCGATCTTATCGCGTTATTTAGCAGATCGGCTAGAATAACCAAGCTGTTTGGTGCATATCAGTGCCAAGCACAACCGTTTGCTTAGAAAAGAAGCCGTCGAGCCGATACCTACATACTTACATACATATGTGAATGCAAGTGCCGCTACAATCGATCTCGCAATACATACACATACACAAGCCGCTGCACGCATAAAAACGGTAATCGCATTCTCGCACTGCCCACTCTGTGACATTCGCAGTGGTCAAGGGCAAAGCTCTCCTCCATAACTGGAGTTTGGTGACAGGCCGGAGTACATCGAGCACTCAACAAAACGTACCAACCTAACATAACCTCGCCAACAACAGAATGGAAAATTCGACAAGTGAAAAAGACTTTTGCAAAGCCAAACGCGCTTCTGTTCAACGTCAACTATTAGCAATGAACGAATTCTTCAGCGCCGGTGAGATGATCAGCTTTGACGAGGCGGACTTGATGGTGCGTATAGAATCTGTGGAGAGCATGAAGGTCGAGTTTGAAATCAGCCAGTCAAAGCTAGAAAAATTAGATTTGCTCGAGCTTTCAACGGACTCCCGCTCAGACTTCGAAAAGGTTTACTGGAAGATCAAAGCCACTCTCGCTCGTCAACTGGATGTACTCACTAAGGGACATATGACGGACGCCAACTCAACAACTATACCACGCTTTGCTGAAAGTACGCACACACTTGCTCACTCGTTCAACCGTAAGTCTCGCCTGCCGGAATTGCAGCTGCCCAGGTTCAGCGGATCCTACGAGGATTGGCCGGATTTTTACGCCATGTACAAGACTGTCATAGGCAGCAATGAGGACCTGAGTAAGATTGAGAAATTTCAGCATTTACGTGCGTGCTTAGATGGTGCTGCTCTCAACACAATCAAATCGTTAGAGCCTGTCGACGTAAATTACGACAAGGCGTTGGAGTTACTCATAAGGCGTTTTGATAATAAGTTGCTACACTTTCAGGGCCACGTGCGAGCTATAATCGGACTGTCAGGTGTTGAAAAGGGATCAGCAGAGGCGTTGCGTGAGTTGAGTGACAAAATTAACTCTCATCTTCGGGCGCTTAGCACCATGTCAACAACTGAGGAGCTGGCTGATGGATTACTTATACACACAATATCGCACAAGCTCGATCAGCACACCCAGGAAAAGTGGCAGGAGGCGCTTGCAACGGATAAGCTACCCAGGTGGACGGATATGTCGGCGTTCTTAGAAAAGAGATGCCGCATGATGGAAAACTTGAAAGGCGCTACGGTACCTACACCTAGCCACCAGGTGGGCAGAAATCTACAAAAGTCGAACCGTAACACATTCATTGCATCTTCATCTAACAATTACCAGCAAATTTGTAATTTTTGCGACTCAAAAGAGCATTTTCTTGCAAAATGCCCGTTGTTTTTCAATCTGTCCCCAAGTTTGCGCCACAAAGAGGCTAAGCGGTTGCATCTTTGCCTAAACTGCTTGCGCAAAGGCCATGGCTTGCAGCAATGTCGCTCAGGTCACTGCAGGCACTGTCAAAAAAAACATCATTCGTTGCTGCACATGAGCCCCACCACAACTCAATCATCTGCCCTGTGTACACCAAGCTTGCAGTCTGCAACCACGATCCAGCCTCACGCATCGTCTACAGGGAATCCATCATCTTCAACTCTCGTCAGCACTACGCTTGAATTCACACCTGAAGCCACGAATGCCCAGCCTGCAGACTACGTGGTGCTTCCAACCGCCATCATATATGCCAAGAGCCACTCAGGTGTATTCATACCCTGTCGTGCATTACTTGATTCTGGATCTCAGCTCAACTTTATCACTGCTCGTCTAGTTAAGCACCTCCAACTCAAAACTCATCATGTTGCCGTATCAATATCTGGTATAGGTGAATCAACCCTATCTTCTAACATGTCCACTGACATCTCAGCGCAGTCAAGTGATAGGAGCTTCAGCACATCATTTTCAGCAGTCGTTACTCGCACTATAACGGATTATCAACCCCATTTTGGATTAGACATCTCTGGGTGGAATATCCCCAAAAACAAATCGCTCGCGGATCCAACGTTTTTCAAATCTCAGAGAATAGATTTATTACTTGGTGCCGGACTATTTTTCGATCTCCTCTGCATCGGCCAAATTCGAATGGCGGATAACCTACCAACTCTCCAAAAGACCAAGCTCGGATGGATTGCGTTTGGCGGTCTCTCTCGCGTACACAAAAAACACACATCCCTATCAGCCCTTTGCAAGGAAACTAATCCATGGGAGGATTCACTGTCGGATATTGTAAAACGATTTTGGAAAGTCGACAATTGCTGCGGTACAACCCCTGTGCTCTCTGATGAAGACGCGCTATGTGAGCAGCTATTTCTCCAAGGTTACACGCGACCTAAGTCAGGGCAGTATTCAGTTAGGCTTCCAGCAAAGCTCAGCTTCGACACGCTAGGAGACTCATATCAACGTGCTCTACGACGTTTCAAGTCGCTGGAAAACAAATTGGCCAAAAATCACCAGTTGAAGGAGAGCTGTTCTGCATTCATGCGCGAATACATCGACTTGGGCCACATGTCTTTGGCGTCCAAGCAGCAGCTTGTCCCACAATTCTATTTACCCCACCACTGCGTAGAAAAGCCAGATAGCTCAACCACCAAATTACGCGTCGTTTTTGATGGATCAGCCAAATCCACATCAGGCGCATCTCTGAATGATCTCTTGCATACAGGCCCAGCAATTCAACCCAAATTATTTAACATTTTAATTAAGTTTCGATTCTTTAAGGTTGCCATGTGCGGTAACATCTGTAAGATGTACCGCTGCGTCCGAATAATGCATCCAGACAAATTCCTGCAATGCATCTTATGGCGTGATCATCAAAATGAAAGTATAAGGACGTACACCTTGGATACAGTAACGTATGGAACCAAACCCGCTGCGTTTCTAGCAATTCGAGCGATGCAGCAGCTGGCCCACGACGAAGCCTACCTTTCCACTAGCTGCAAAAATAGTTTGTCGCGACTTCTATGTAGACGATTTAATCTCTGGAGGGGACTCAATAGAAGAAGCCATTCAGATCAGACAGCAAGTAAAACTGCTACTGGCAAAAGGTCACTTTCCAATCAGAAAGTGGTGCTCAAACGAGCCTGATGCATTAAAAGGAGAAAGCGAATCTGATTGTGAGAAACTAATGGAGTTCAAGGATGGCACCAACATTGCAAAGGCGCTTGGTTTAGCTTGGAGCCCTAGCTCTGATTGCCTGCTTTTCAATATTGCTGAAATCGTACCTCAAGGATCAGTCACAAAGCGGAGCATATTATCAATGATAGCTAGATTTTACGATCCGCTCGGATTGATCGCTCCCATCGTTACCAGGTTAAAGCAGGTTTCTCCAAGCACTGTGGAAGGAAAAGGTCAATTGGGACGAATGCCTGTCGCAGTCGCTGCACTCCGAATGGATCAAACTCATATCGCAGCTCTCATTTGTCAGCAGCTTGAAATTTTCTCGTTTTGTATTGATGCCGCTGGCTACTTATGAGCTGCATGGATTTTGCGACGCCAGCACAGCCGCTTATGGTGCTTGCGTATTTGTCAGATCCGAAATGCAAGGGGTATTTTCATCACATTTGCTATGCTCTAAATCAAGGGTCGCCCCGTTAAAGACGCTGACAATCCCAAAGCTTGAGCTGGCAGCCGCACTTTTATTATCAGAGCTCATAGGAAACATCGCGAAGTGCATTCAGTTCGAATGCAAATATTATTGCTGGACCGATTCAACAGTAGCGCTTGCATGGATTCGTGAATCACCTTCAAAGTTTAACGTCTTTGTATCCAACAGGGTATCACAAACACAGGAGCGGACCGGGGGCATGACCTGGCGTCATGTACCCTCTCAGCTGAACCCTGCGGACATTTTATCACGTGGATGCACACCTCTGGAACTTATGGACTCACAGCTATGGCATAATGGACCCCCATTCATACAGGCCGCTAGCTCTACTTGGCCTCAAAACGTCGCCTATCCCTTTGAGCTTCCAGAGCGACGCCAGAAAGCGCTGGTACTATCAACGAAGACGGACCTATCGACATCTTGTAAATTCAACAACACATTTGCCAAGTTACAGCGTACGTTCGCATACGTGTATCGATTTATAGCACTAAAAAGATCTGATTCGACGAATTCAAAAGGCCCACTCACTCCAAATGAGATCAAGTGCGGAACGCATTTACTTATAAAAAACATTCAACTTACGCACTTCGCAGAGGAATACAAAGCACTCAGCTTAGAAAAGCCGCTTCCAACAAGAAGCAAACTTCGTTCTTTGTGCCCACTGTTGGACGCTGAGGGACTCTTGCGCATCGGCGGGCGCCTTCAGAACTCAGTCTTGGAATATGAAGCAAAGCATCCGTTATTGTTGCCTAAACGCCACCCGGTTACAGCAGCTATAATCACACATTATCATTTGGAATTTCTTCATGCTGGTCCGCAATTCCTTCTAGCAACACTCCGCCAGCGATACTGGCCCATCGGAGGTCTCAAGGCTGTCTCGAACATCATCAACAGGTGCGTTCGCTGCTTTCGAATGCGACCTAAACTTCTGGAGCAAGTCATGGCCCCGCTACCAGCTGAGCGTGTGCAGCCAAGTCCGACGTTTCACGTAACTGGCATCGACTTTTGCGGTCCTTTCTACGTAAAATCAGAGGTCAGCAATCGCTCACCAACGAAGTGCTACATCTCAATTTTTATATGCTTTGCAGCGAAAGCAACGCATTTAGAGTTGGTAGAGGACCTGTCCACGTTCATCAGCCTTCGAGGGAAACCGCATACAATATGGACAGACAACGCCACAAATTTCGTGGGTGCTCGCAATGAGCTGAAGGAACTGCGCGACCTGTTTATAAGCGATCCACAGCGCAATGAAATTGTTTGCAATTGCATAGCACTGGGAGTCAACTGGAAATTCATACCGCCCCGTTCGCCACATTTTGGAGGATTGTTGGAGGCTGCTGTTAAGTCAGCAAAATATCACTTTTACCGCGTCGTTGGAAATTCTCTTCTCTCATTCAACGAATTCCGAACTCTCATCTGTCAAATATCCGCAATGCTTAATTCAAGACCGCTTTGCTCTATTACAGAAAACCCGAATGATTTGGAGATACTCACGCCTGGACACTTCATCTGGTGCAAAGCCAATGCCACTATCAACGAGCCACACATAACGCACCTAAGCATAGGTCGCCTCAGCCGTTGGCAGCGAATATGTCACATGCAGCAATCATTTTGGAAGAAGTGGAGTACATCGTATTTGTCGTTGCTCCAAGAGCGCGGGAAATGGCGATCGTCCAAGCAAAATCTTCAGGCCGGCAGCATCGTGCTGCTCAAGGAGGACAATGCACCACCGCTCAGGTGGCCGCTTGGTCGAGTCGACAGCGTCATCACTGGTGACGACGGCATTGTGAGAATAGCAATTATTCGTACACAAAATGGCCTGGTCAAGAGAGCCATTGCCAAAATCGCCGTTCTGCCAATCGAGACCACATCGGTTGAAAGCTTGTATCTTCCAACGGGGGCAGCAGAACGCCATCAAGATATATTAGATCTCTACCTCTTAAAATCACGACATTGAAGTCACACACTATTATTTTTAAATATCATTGTAAATTTCATATAAGAAGATACCCCAACACCTGAATAAACAACGCATGATTCGTCCATACCGAGATCAACAGGAAGTCCCATGCAACCCAAAACTCGGGAATGCAATAGAACGTCGCTGACAAATACGTTATCAGCTCGTTCCCACACTCCACACTATGACTAGTTCAGAATCAGTCCCACACTCCAATAGAAGGGAGAACTCTTGTAAACAAGTGAGTTCTCAAGATGAAAGCTGACACCAATCACCAGCTGTGGCTGCCTGTTTCATCCAAGCCGACGCATCTCCCAAGCCTCCCACACATAGGGCAACGCATCGCTTATCAGCCGCTCTCACCAAAGCAGCGCCTCTCGCAAGTGAAGCTTCGTCTCTCTCAGGCGAAGCCATCATCATGTTTTTGTTTTTGAATAGAAATATTTTTGTTGAGACTCTTAATTCTAAAATAAATTCTTATCTTAAAATAAAACCTTTTTATATCTAAATTAATTTTAACATTTTCGGAAGCCATTATCAATTTTTCCTTAACGTTTTTTGTTATGTTAAAATGTTCTTTTATAATGTTTAAAAATATTATTTCCAGCTCTTTCAGTTCATTTTTGAACTGTGCAGAAGGTTTTATGAGTCCACCATGCGAGACCTCATCTACGTAGGTAAATGTCGAATTTTCGGCAAACTCATTGGAAAGTCGCAGTTTTTTGATAACATAGCCTGCTAGGTACTCAATGGCATCCTCCGTTAGCTCGTCTAGCTCAGTTTCTGGTGCTATGTTGTTATCAATGTCTACCACAAAATCTTCATATTCGTTCTCCTTGTTGTGTTGACTTAGGTCTGCTTGAGTAGTTATGTCTAGGTTCAACCAAGTGTCAGAATTGTCTTCGTCAACATTTTGATTGTTTGACAATAATTCAGTATTCTTGGCTGAATAAAAAAAAAGATTATTAAAAAATGATAATAATAAAAAATAAAACATGGTAAATCACAAAACAAAACACAAAATACAGAACACAGAACAAACCTACAAACAATCACAAACAATCACGATCAAAACTTTTCTGGCTGAAACATAGAGCTAAACATTTGACAATTAGTATTTTTAAATTCAATTATTAATTAATAGAGTGTTTCAATTTTGTCATACCTGTTATATATTTTCTTAGCCTATACTTAAATTGAAGTGGAGTCGGATGGTCAAACTGTCCACCTTTAGACCGCATGGCGCCAAAAAAATTCTCCACAATGTCTTGGTTAAGACGACTTGTTAAAATATAACGAATCTCGTACTTCTCCGATAAATATCCATGCAAACCAGGAAGGGATGCATTGTTAACTAAAATACCTTTTTGGAACGGAAGCTTATGAGCTTTGCCAACTATCTCCGTGCGCATAATCTCAGACATTTTAGCCAAAATGCTTCGTTGAACTTCGATTTGTTGGCCATAGGGCTGCGTCGCTTCAATGGAATTTGCTGTTAATAATTTCGAATTGAAAACGTCAAACCAATCATTGAATATTTTGAAGAGATCAGCGGTTTCGCATGCGTTCTCTACTTCATAGCACAACGCATAGCATCGTCTAATGGCGCTAGCGGTTGTATTGGAGAACAGTTGTGTTGCCAATTTGACCTTCTGTTTAGCCAACGAACCAATATTGATGTTATTATCGGTAATCTTGAACAATATTGACACATCTGATTTAGCACAGTGGCTGATTGTCTGCTGGACTGTCGTCTTAGTCAGTCTATTTCCGTTGATGACTAATCCGGAGTGGACATAGTGGTTACGGATCAACTTTACCAGATGGGTAGTATCCGAAAAAACAAATACTTTCAATTCTTCATCCGCTGGATGGCTAAACCAGGTCTTTGCTAAACAAAAAAAATGTTTGAAATATCTCTTTTGTATAATTTTGTATAAGAAACTTACTCTCCGATATGCCAAGCTCCCTCCATAATCTTTGATTTCCAGCGCCCAAATCAGAAACAATGGCAACAACAGGATAACCTCTTTTGTGAAGCTTATTTATAATTGATAGCAAAGTATCCGCGTCCATTCGAGCATTGAAATCAAAGTATACTGGCTGCTTCCAAGATTTTTTCAAGCCACGAGCTATGGCCAGTTGAACATAGTTGCTCGGCTCATACACAACATCCGCTGAGCTGTCATACTCGAAAGCAGCAGCAACCTTCATTTCATCGAAGGACAAAACGCAGAGCTTATCCACTTCGGACATTTCCTCATTTTCCATGAGGTCTATCACTACGTCTAGCGTACCGGCATTAATTTTCACATCTGCCAACCATCTATATAATGTTGCCCGACTCGGCAAAGGAAATTCTTTTCTATATAGATGGCAGATGGGCAGATGGCAGCAGAAATGTCTGTTGTATTAAATACAGCTCTCTTCCCTCCACTCTTCAAAATACTTATTTGCGTCTCGGTGAAAAAAATTTCCTAAAGATTTGTTTAATTCCTCGTACTCTCCAAGTTGCTGGCGTAAAGATAGCATCTCCTTCTCCATAAGGCGAAGTTGTTTTTTCAGGCTTTTGTTCTCCATAATTATGTTACGATTTATCAACTTTTCGCTACATTACAAGTAAATTATTGTTTTATTTATTTAAACACGGTTAGCTTACTCTGTTTGCGTGCTCGAATCGGCGTAGCCTAATTGTAAAATATTTGGTTCAGGCTCTGGGTCTCTTTCCGGAACAGCATCGTCATTTAGGCGCCTTCTTTTAAAGACTTGGCCTTTTTTTGGAGCTGACTTCCACTCCGAAGCTTTAAAATGCGTGTCGCAAATTTTGGAGTTCTCTCCCAGGCTGCAGCCTAGAGATTTCTCCCACAGTTCTCTTCTCACATTACATTTTGGTGCCTTTATCAATTTCACACCGAGCACGTGCTTGCGGCAAACGCGGCAATATGTCATTTTTTTTTAAACAAGGGTTAAGGTTTGGCAATAAATTTGTCCGTACCGAACCTTTCACTACAACAAGCGACCGCGCACTGAACGTTAAGGTCCTCAAACCCGAACGATTCGGCAGCCGACGAGACCACCTTATATAATTGCATCATGTATCAGCCGAAGCCGAAAGCTTAAGGAGATAAGCTTTAAGCTTCCCAACAGAGGTCTCGAGATTAATAACCCGAGAACAAGAAGACAGTTCCGTTTGAGACTTTCTAACATTGAGTTGGGGAATTCATTATCATATCCTATGTTCTATTATATAAGTTCGGTTAAATAAAATATCTTTTTAAAAACCTACTTTTAAACTCGGGAATTCTTATTATATATACTGTATGGTTAGTGGCGAAACCTAACAAATCGCTCTAACCAGGTTCCTAAACTTAGTGTTGAAAAAGTTATTATTTTTAGTTTAGTCTCACAATTGAGATTTTACTTTATATAATGAATAATGTTTAACCGATTGTTTATGGCGATAACTGAATATCGATGGGTGTATGATCTCTTGAGAAAAAAGAAGAAGACGAACACGCGGAATAGAAAGAAATATTTTTTAAGTCGTAAATTGTAAGAGAAATATGAAATAAACACAGAAATGCGCAACGGAATGAACACAATAAAAGAAAGAGTGATGGGTAGTCAATCCAGCGCCTTTCGAGCCGGATAATACAGTTAATATTCCACAGGTACAACAACACTTATAGAATAGGTTGAATCCTTGCCAAGCTCTGAAGGAACATATATTGAAGAATATCGCCAATTAGACAATTTGGAGGCAATAAGACCTACAGAGAAAAATAAAGTTGAATACTTCGTGCCTCATCATCCGGTTATTCGCACAGATAGTTTAACGACCAAATTACGGGTCGTATTTTGTGCCTCTTGTAAGTCTAGCAACGGCATGTCACTGAACGACACGACCTTAGTTGGTCTAACTTTGCAACCTGATCTGTTCGAGACATTGACCAGGTTTCGTTTCTATAGATACGCTCGTACGGCCAATATCAAGAAAATGTACCGACAAATATTGGTCAAGGAACCACACAGAAACTATCAGTGCATCTTATGGCGAGGCAACGTTTCGGAGCTAATCCAAGTGCTACGCTTAAATACGGTCACTTATGGGACAAATTCTGCACCGTTGCCGGCAGTACGTTGCCTGTATTACTTGGCAGATAGGTACGCTGAAAGATTTCCATTAGCTAGAGAGGCGGGGAAGCGAAGTTTCTATATGGATAATATGCTCTGTGGAGCGAATGCAGAAGAAGAATTGACAAGGTTAAAAGGCAAGTGACCGCATTATTGGGCCTAGGGAAGTTCGAGCTGCACAAATGGCGCAGCAATTATCAGGAATTGGACAACAATACTGACCTAGAGCCTTTAAGGCAAAAAACATAGGACGCAGCTAAAACTTTGGAAATATATTGGTCAAGTCTAGAGGACAAATTCCACTTCTCTTATAACATAAAAATCTCCTCGATCGCCACGAAACGATCAATGTTGTCCGAGTTGGCTCAGATATTTAATCCGTTAGGGTTCTTGAGTCCGTTGCTAATCTTGGGCAAAATCTTCATTCAGGAACTTTCTTCTAAAGCAGGATTGGGACGAGGAGCTATCAGCGAGCTACTCAACGCAATGGCGTCGATATATGGAAGAACTGAAACTAATTGATAAATGTTCAATCCCACGATCCTCCATTCCTCCTCCAGACCTATGCACGTTAGAGCTTTTTGGGTTTTCTGACGCATCCTACACAGCTTAAGGCGGCGTCATTTTAGCTCGTGTAAGGGATCAAAGTGGCGGAAGTTCAGTGCGACTAGTAGCGGCAAAGTCCAAGGTCGCCCGTGTTAGGGTAACATCATTGACACGGCTAGAGTTGCAAGGCGCACTGTTAGTGGCCAAGCTAATGACAAAGGATTGCTTCTGTCTGCATTTACAGGTAGAAGGGGTTATTTTACGGATTCCACAATTGTGTTGAATTGGCTATCGTCACATGCCGTCGTTGGACCACCTTCGATGTCAACAGTGTGGCTCAAATACAAGAGCTTACACGGGTGCAGGATTGGTTCAAGGTCGACACAAAGTCGAAGCCTGCAGATATTATATCTAGGGGATTATTGGTGACAGAATTAAGCAAGTCAACGATGTGGCGGAACGGTCCGGACTTTTTAATAGATTCAGGAGAGGAGGAAGATAAAATGTAAGTTTTCGCTGACAATTAGTAAGGTAGAGAGCATCCTTTGCGAGGATGCAAATTTGCAAATGATTTCCTCAAACTGCAACGAGTCTTTAGCTACATTTTTCGCTGGCGTAGAATATCGTTGAGATCGGACTCAAATGAAACAGGCAACCTTACTGCAGCTGAAATGGAGGGCGGATTACGCTATATTGTTTACAATGTGCATCAGTTGAGTTTTCACGAAGAATTCACTAAGCTAAAAGAGGTAAAGGTGATAAAATCAGCAAGAACTCAAAGTTTAAGTCCTTTCTTAAGAGAGGAGGAAGGAATAAGTATTATTCGAGTCGGGGGAAGGTTGATCAATGCCGAATTGTTATTTGACACAAGGCAATCCATCTTAATGCCTAGTAAACTCATAGCGGTGAATGCGCTCGTTGAATTCAAACATCGAAGGAATTTACATGCCGCAGCACAATCATTATGCGCCTTTTTGCGGCAGAGATATGGATAATCGATTGCAGGAAACTTGCCAGCAAGGTGCTCCGTGGATTGAGCTCAATTTTGCTACAACGCTACCAATTTTTGTAGGCGCTTCACTAGAGCTAAACAGAGTTTTCGCCCAGTCAGCAGCTCATTGACGACGAATGCAGTCAGCGAGGAGTCAAGTTTCACTTCATCCCCCCGCGCTCGCAGCACTTTGGAGGATTATAAGAGACCGCCGGGAAGGTGGCCAAACAGCTGCTGGTGAACCGGTGGTCATCGGAATATCTGACGTTGCTGCAGATGCGAACAAAGTGGAACACTCTAGCCAACAACATTCAAATTGGCACACTGGTCCTTATTGCTGAGGACAATGCGCCACCCGGACAATGGCTGCTGGGAAGAGTTGCAGAGTTACACACAGGAGAGGATGGGGCAGTTCGGGTTGTAAGACTCAAGACCAAAACTGGAATCATTAAGCGCAACATACACAAGCTCTGCCCACTGCCGACCGATGCAGATGATCTTAATGTTGGAAGGAGCTTCCAAGGTGGGGAGAATGTTGACGCCACTTAATATATTATATCAGCTTAATGAACTTTAGCAATGTTAACATGAATTTGTCAATTAATTTGAACTTGGCGCTAAAGCCTAGTACTCAGACGCGCTAAATTTTCCGTCGACCGAAATCAGGAATGATGTTCGTATGAAACCGATAAGAAATCATCCCTGTTTTTCGGTCGACCGAAAATTTCGTAGCAGGCATTTCGCAGACCGGTACTCAGTTCCGAAAAAATGGAATTCGATACATACTAGAAAAGCAACCGATGGTATTTTCCCATCTCGATCGGAAATTTGAAATATTTCATTTTCCGTCGTCTAATGACAAATGACAGGACACAAAAACGCACACAACACACAGACTTTAAATATGGAGGGAAAGGTATTAAAAAACAAGCGGCTTGCCGAGTTCTCACAGGAGTGCAAAATACTTGTAATAAAGTCGGTAGCGAAAAGGCCAGTGATATGGGACCTGGCCAATAAAAAACATTTCGACTCCATAGCAACCAAAAATGCTTGGGATTCTGTGGCTAGAGATATAAACAAGGACGGTAAATATAATTTAGGTCAGTTATTTATTTATTGATAGTAGCACTTGTGCTCCAGTGACTATTTGCAAATTGGCTTGGAAGTCTCTGAAGGATAGCTACCGCTACCATATAAAGTCGGCAAGCAAGAGCAAGAGTGGTAGTGCAGGAGGGATCCAAATGGAGAACCCAGTGGCGAATGACGGTGTGGAGTGGATGTTTGCTCCACACATGTCATTTTTGCCCGACATTTCTGCACAGAGGCGTACGTTTGCCTTCGACTTCTTGCCCAAGGATGAGAGCAGCTTAGCCGGGCTGGATGACGCTGCAGTATGCGGCACCTCGTATTTGGAGACACAGTGGGCCGCGGGCGAGAAGGATTTAGAGAAGGAGCTGGATGATCTCAGTAGCTCAACGTATTCTTATGTAAGTAGAATACCTCGACTTAGTTATAAACGTAATTTTTAATTCCCAAACTATTTTTCACAGGAAAGGAAAGCAAAGAAGCGATCTCCGCCAAAAAATTCCTCATGTGCATCCCATGTTTGTGAGATTTTCGGAAAATTCGGAAATTCTGGTGAATCCAGAAGTACCAATAAATCCAGATTTGGCATACTGGAATTCCATGCTCAACTCGTTGCCGTTGGAGGACAAGGCAGAAGTCGAGGAGGATATAACCCAGTATTTAATACAAAAGAAGAGGTCATTAAGAAAATCTTCTGAGCAAATGTAGTAGCTATAAGCTTTAGTAAAATGTATTCTTTAATATGAAATACAAAAATTAACATTCCTAATTTATAATGTTTTGAACGCCAGCAGCTTTATGTTGCCAAGAAACCGACCCAGCAGGGCTGTTGACATAATTTTTTAAATTATTTCTTATTGCCTTGCTGTAGTCCAGACGGCGACCGCGGCAACAGGGCCGGAGATCGGCCAATACAGTGTGCGCCTGAATTAATGAATCTTCATTAATGGCATATGTTTTGGGACCTGTGCGCATTAAGAAGTTGTGCAGCGAACAACAGGCAGCCACAATCTTTTAAGACTTTTCGGGTACTCTTTTCAGCCGCTCGTATTCCAACAAAAAGTCCAGCCTCGATCACGATCTCCGCTTCCTTCCCTATCGATATTATCTCTACGATCTATTCTAATATATTCTACTCGCAACTCCGCTGCATGTATCGAGTTGGTGAACGATACCTACGCGCGCTCCTTAATATTTAAATGGTGTCTCTCTAAGTATTTACAGTACTCTACTTATATTACTACACTACATTCCAGATTTTTTTCATAATGATAGAAAATAAAGTTTTTAACGTAAATTACCTTAAATGTCGGATTATATCCGTGTTCTTCGATAATTTCCGCCCCAAATGAAGTCATTTGGAAACAGACATTGTATTTTTGAGTGTTCGCTAGAAAATGTCGTGATTCTAAGGTTTCGCCATAAAGCAGGGAGCACAATGGCTCTGGTGGCGGGACCAATAATGGCAATTTCACTTTACCACTAAGGCAGCACAAACCAGGCGTTTCACCAGCATACTTCAATGCTCCACAATGCTGGCAAACAACGTCCATTGGACCAATGCAAACTAAACGATGCAAGCTGTAGTCGATGGTGCAATCATACAGAAACGCTGCTCGATTCAAATCAATACTTGAACCATTTCTTCTTGCACTTCGAAGATTATTCCTCTGTTCATCTGTACGACAAGCTCGACGATTTCTCGTTTCTAACCTAGCCGTTTCACGGGCCTCTCTTTGCTCTTGTGTTTGAGAAGCACGAAGCACGCTGTTCTCGTGCAATTTCTCGTTCTCCATCAGATAATTGACTCGCGATATTCCGTTGCCTAATTGCATTACGGCTTCGCTGGGAAAGATTAGATCTTCTAGGACGCGGCATTGTTATTAAAATGTGCACTCGCATAAAACCACCAAACTGATTTTTTATTCCCTAAATTCCGTTCCTTTCCGATGATTTTATGTTTTTACTGTAGAATAAATCTTAGGTATTATTTTCGGGAATTAAAAATTTAATAATTAATAAATAATTTTCGAAAATTAATGTCTAAAACAAACAAATATAACAGTAACTGAACTTTGTAGACATTTTACAAAAAATAAATTTCTGAACGCACACATGATGTCTTCAGAAAAAAATAAAGTTGTGGCTTAAAGGTCTCAGCAACCACGGCCATAAGCTCCAAAAAAAAAAAAATATGTGTTATACTATTTGACAGGATTGGACAACAAATGTTTGACATGTAATAAACAAATCAGCACCTATTAAAATGATTAAGTATTCATTACACATATCGAGTTTTCATTGTTTTTAACATGTATTCTGCTATTCGGGACGGAAACAAATCCAACATATCAAAAACCATGGCAATCGGTCCAGCCGTTCTCGAGTTATAAGTGTTGCATTACGGCTTCGCTGGGAAAGATTAGATCTTCTAGGATGAAGAAGACATTTTACATGTTCATGGCCTTGTCGCTCCCTTTCGTGACATATTTGCAAATGTATTTAATTGACTTGACCGAATTGCAATACTCAACATTACAATGTGCTTTGAATGTTTTGGAAAGAAGTGGCGAATATGGAACAATCCAACTGTTGTCAACTACGAAATCGTTTCCTTTCACTTTAGTTGTGATAGTTCTACCATTATCATCGGGTGATCGACGCCGATACAATGGATAACCATCGTTGCCTGTAATGGTCTCTGCCGTCAATTTTCGTGGATACCGTTTGGAACACTTGCCGTCGACCATGCACGGTGATTGTCGGTTGATAGTGCCACACGGTCCATGAATCATATTCGTGACTACAACATCATGTAGGTCTGGATCGGTTTCAGGAGCAGGAATCTCCGCACATATGATGTCATCTATTTGATCTGGCCGAATTCTTTCGACTAACCAAATCAGAATGTGAGCATGCGGTAGGCCTCGTTTTTGCCATTCGATTGAATACATCCAGCATTGAGTATTCCCAAAGACGTGTTGCTTAACAATGTAATTCATTAGTGACCGAATTTTTTGCCTGTGAACACGTGCGGTGATGTCGTGTTGATCACTTGATGTTTGTCCGGGAAGCAGCAATTGAATAATTTCTATCCATTTCGGATTACATGTAAATGTAATGAATAGATCTGGCCGACCATAATGACGAACATATGTCATTGCATCTTGCGCATATTCATGCAAATGACGCGGGCTACCTATGTATGTCGCCGGTAAAATAGTCAATCGACCAACAAAATGCAACGAATCGTCTAGCGCTGTCCGCGTCATGCGGGACTGGATAGTTTTTGATGACGTTATATTTTTTGTCATCAGGCAAGATTCCTTTATCTGTGCATTTATGACCGAGAAAGGTCACTTCATGCATAAAAAATGAACATTTTTGTAGATGTAACTTAAGGTTGTGTTTCCTACATACCTCAAAAATATCTTGTAAGTTTTCGAGCATATGTTTTTCAGAACAACCAATGACTATAAGATTGTCCATATATAGGAACGCTTGCGAAGATTCAAGTCCAGAGAATGCAATAGTCATCATTCTCTGAAATGAATTTGGCGCTATTTTTAAACCAAAAGGTAGTCGCGTGAAGCGATATGAGCCATTGCTTGTTGAAAAAGACGTTATATTACGTGAACTTTCTTCTAGTTCAATTTGATGAAAACCTGACATTAAATCAAGGCATGAGAAGTATTTTGCTCTACCTAGTTGATCCAAAATATCATCAATTCTAGGTAATGGAAATTTATCTGTAAATTAACGTAAATTACCTTAAATGTCGGATTATATCCGTGTTCTTCGATAATTTCCGCCCCAAATTAAGTCATTTGAAAACAGACATTGTATTTTTGAATGTTCGCCAGATAATTGTCGTGATTCTAGCGTTTCGCCATAAAGCAGGGAGCACAATGGCTCTGGTGGCGGGACCAATAATGGCAATTTCACTTTACCACTATGGCAGCACAAGCCAGGCGTTTCACCAGCAAACTTCATTGCTCCACAATGCTGGAAAACAACGTCCATTGGATGCGTCCAATGCAAACTAAACGATGCAAGCTGTAGTCGATAGTGCAATCATACAGAAACGCTGCTCGATTCAAATCAATACTTGAACCATTTCTTCTTGCACTTCGAAGATTATTCCTCTGTTCACCTGTACGATAAGCTCGATGATTTCTCGTTTCTAACCTAGCCGTTTCACGTGCTGCCTCTCTTTGCTCTTGTGTTTGAGAAGCACGAATTAAGGCCCTTCTTTGCTCCATACCAACGCGGCGCTGTTCTCGTGCAATTTCTCGTTCTCCATCAGATAATTGACTCGCGATATTCCGTTGCCTAATTGCATTACGGCTTCGCTGGGAAAGATTAGATCTTCTAGGACGCGGCATTGTTATTAAAATGTGCACTCGCATAAAACCACCAAACTGATTTTTTATTCCCTAAATTCCACTCCTTTCCGATGATTTTATGTTTTTACTGTAGAATAAAACTTAGGTATTATTTTCGGGAATTAAAAATTAAATAATTAATAAATAATTTTCGAAAACTAATGTCTAAAACAAACAAATATAACAGTACCTGAACTTTGTAGACATTTGTTAGATTGTTTTACTATTATTATCGTTAACCTACAATTGTATTTACATTTACTCTTGCATATTGTATAAAATATCGTAATAAGTTTCGATAGATCTAGTTCTGCGAATTAGAACTACGTGGAATTAGGTCAGAGAGGGAATATTACTAGTATTGTTAACCCACATAATATCGACTCTTGCACCTTGCCACTAACCATACAGGAGCAGGAATCTCCGCACATATGATGTCATCTATTTGATCTGGCCGAATTCTTTCGACTAACCAAATCAGAATGTGAGCATGCGGTAGGCCTCGTTTTTGCCATTCGATTGAATACATCCAAAGACGTGTTGCTTAACAATGTAATTCATTAGTGACCGAATTTTTTGCCTGAAAACACGTGCGGTGATGTCGTGTCGATCACTTGATGTTTGTCCGGGAAGCAGCAATTGAATAATTTCTATCCATTTCGGATTACATGTAAATGTTATGAATAGATCTGGCCGACCATAATGACGAACATATGTCATTGCATCTTGCGCATATTCATGAAAATGACGCGGGCTACCTATGTATGTCGCCGGTAAAATAGTCAATCGTCCAACATTTTCTGAATCTCCTTCTGTGCTAATTGCATCGCGTAAATGGATATACTCTTCCGAACGCAATTTAGCTTGATTCAACCGAATGAAAGTCAGGCGCTCCGTTTCGATTTTAACGTACATGTCAACGCAATATTGTTGAAGCAGTCGACGAAATCGCAACAAATAATTGTCAGAATTTTCACGAATCATCAAACGATATGCGTAATAATTCATCGAACTAACCTTCTTGGTAGTTTCCTCACCTGAAACAAATGCAGTAAAAATTGTATCTTAGAACCCGTAATAGGTTAACGACTCTTACAGCTACTCTCAACTAAATTAGAAATTACAACTTTGTTTGAGTACTAAAAGCAAACAGAATAAAATGTATATCAAGTTAAAATGAAAACAACAATATTGATCTTACTATTCAATGGATTAATCATTTTGATATTAAAGTGATATCCATCGTCTCCTTGCCAAAACATCAGCGGGTATTGTAACGCGTCATATGAACGGTGTGTTTCATATATTCTTTGTAGTTGCCCAGTATGGCGTCGTGTAAGTACAATATCACGTGTTTCCAAGTTTTCACCAACAATCAGGATTGCCACTTCATCGATTGTTGGAGCATTAAATGTGCGTTCATGTGTTCCAGCTGGTCTTTTATCTGCTCTGATCACAACTTTATAGTCATCACTTGGCATGCGCTCTAAAGCAGTCTTGAACAGCCTGACCAATGCATGATGTTCATGGAGCATTTGCTGCAGATCTTGGAGAATTGCTCTTTTCGTAGCTGTGTTGATCCCTTGACGCCGGTCAAGTTGTTCTTCCATATTGCCCATGAAGTATATTTGAAAGAATTTATGCTGTGCATCTTCTATAGGTTGCAATGATCCAATGCGATGGCAAATCTGGCCTTGAATCTGTGAAGTCAAAACCATAGTTATAGTTAGATTTACAAACACTTTTTTTACAAACACTTTTTTTTCAAATAATAACATGCCATTTTTATTTCAGAGACAAATACAGAAATCTAACAAACTACATTCCAGATTTTTTTTACAATGATAGAAACTAAAGTTTTTAACGTAAATTACCTTAAATGTCGGATTATATCCGTGTTCTTCGATCATTTCCGCCCCAAATGAAGTCATTTGAAAACAGACATTGTATTTTTGAGTGTTCGCCAGATAATTGTCGTGATTCTAGTGTTTCGCCATAAAGCAGGGAGCACAATGGCTCTGGTGGCGGGACCAATAATGGCAATTTCACTTTACCACTATGGCAGCACAAACCAGGCGTTTCACCAGCAAACTTCAATGCTCCACAATGCTGGCAAACAACGTCCATTGGAACAATGCAAACTAAACGATGCAAGCTGTAGTCGATGGTGCAATCTTACAGAAACGCTGCTCGATTCAAATCAATACTTGAACCATTTCTTCTTGCACTTCGAAGATTATTCCTCTGTTCATCTGTACGATAAGCTCGATGATTTCTCGTTTCTAACCTAGCCGTTTCAAGGGCTGCCTCTCTTTGCTCTTGTGTTTGAGAAGCACGAATTAAGGCCCTTCTTTGCGCTGTTCTCGTGCAATTTCTCGTTCTCCATCAGATAATTGACTCGCGATATTCCGTTGCCTAATTGCATTACGGCTTCGCTGGGAAAGATTAGATCTTCTAGGACGCGGCATTGTTATTAAAATGTGCACTCGCATAAAACCACCAAACTGATTTTTTACTGGGAAAGTTTAGATCTTCTAGGACGAAGAAGACATTTTACATGTTCATCGCCTTGTCGATCCCTTTCGTGACATATTTGCAAATGTATTTAATTGACTTGACCGAATTGCAATACTCAACATTACAATGTGCTTTGAATGTTTTGGAAAGAAGTGGCGAATATGGAACAATCCAACTGTGGTCAACTACGAAATCGTTTCCTTTCACTTTAGTTGTGATAGTTCTACCATTATCATCGGGTGATCGACGCAGATACAATGGATAACCATCGTTGCCTGTAATGGTCTCTGCCGTCAATTTTCGTGGATACCGTTTGGAACACTTGCCGTCGACCATGCACGGTGATTGTCGGTTGATAGTGCCACACGGTCCATGAATCATATTCGTGACTACAAGATCATGTAGGTCTGGATCGGTTTCAGGAGCAGGAATCTCCGCACATATGATGTCATCTATTTGATCTGGCCGAATTCTTTCGACTAACCAAATCAGAATGTGAGCATGCGGTAGGCCTCGTTTTTGCCATTCGATTGAATACATCCAGCATCGAGTATTCCCAAAGACGTGTTGCTTAACAATGTAATTCATTAGTGACCGAATTTTTTGCCTGTAAACACGTGCGGTGATGTCGTGTCGATCACTTGATGTTTGTCCGGGAAGCAGCAATTGAATAATTTCTATCCATTTCGGATTACATGTAAATGTAATGAATAGATCTGGCCGACCATAATGACGAACATATGTCATTGCATCTTGCGCATATTCATTCAAATGACGCGGGCTACCTATGTATGTCGCCGGTAAAATAGCCAATCGTCCAACATTTTCTGAATCTCCTTCTGTGCTAATTGCATCGCGTAAATGGATATACTCTTCCGAACGCAATTTAGCTTGATTCAACCGAATGAAAGTCAGGCGCTCCGTTTCGATTTTAACGTACATGTCAACGCAATATTGTTGAAGCAGTCGACGAAATCGCAACAAATAATTGTCAGAATTTTCACGAATCATCAAACGATATGCGTAATAATTCATCGAACTAACCTTCTTGGTAGTTTCCTCACCTGAAACAAATGCAGCAAAAATTGTATTTTAGAACCCGTAATAGGTTAACGACTCTTACAGCTACTCTCTACTAAATTAGAATTTACTTTTTACTTTTTACTTTTTTTGAGTACTAAAAGCAAACAGAAGAAAATGTATATCAAGTTAAAATTAAAACAACAATATTGATCTTACCATTCAATGGATTAATCATTTTGATATTAAAGTTATATCCATCGTCTCCTTGCCAAAACATCGGCGGGTATTGTAACGCGTCATATGAGCGGTGTGTTTCATATATTCTTTGTAGTTGCCCAGTATTGCGTCGTGTAAGGACAATATCATGTGTTTCCAAGTTTTCACCAACAATCAGGATTGCCACTTCATCGATTGTTGGAGCATTAAATGTGCGTTCATGTGTTCCAGCTGGTCTTTTATCTGCTCTGATCACAACTTTATAGTCATCACTTGGCATGCGCTCTAAAGCAGTCTTGAACAGCCTGACCAATGCATGATGTTCTTGAAGCATTTGCTGCAGATCTTGGAGAATTGCTCTTTTCGTAGCTGTGTTTATCCCTTGACGCCGGTCAAGTTGTTCTTCCATATTGCCCATGAAGTATATTTGCAAGAATTTATGCTGTGCATCTTCTATAGGTTGCAATGATCCAATGCGATGGCAAATCTGGCCTTGAATCTGTAAAGTCAAAACCATAGTTATAGTTAGATTTACAAACACTTTTTTTTCAAATAATAATATGCCATTTTTATTTTAGAGACAAATACAGAAATCTAACAAACTACATTCCAGATTTTTATTACAATGATAGAAAATAAAGTTTTTAAATTAAATTACCTTAAATGTCGGATTATATCCGTGTTCTTCGATAATTTCCGCCCCAAATGAAGTCATTTGGAAACAGACATTGTATTTTTGAGTGTTCGCTAGAAAATGTCGTGATTCTAAGGTTTCGCCATAAAGCAGGGAGCACAATGGCTCTGGTGGCGGGACCAATAATGGCAATTTCACTTTACCACTAAGGCAGCACAAACCAGGCGTTTCACCAGCATACTTCAATGCTCCACAATGCTGGCAAACAACGTCCATTGGACCAATGCAAACTAAACGATGCAAGCTGTAGTCGATGGTGCAATCATACAGAAACGCTGCTCGATTCAAATCAATACTTGAACCATTTCTTCTTGCACTTCGAAGATTATTCCTCTGTTCATCTGTACGACAAGCTCGACGATTTCTCGTTTCTAACCTAGCCGTTTCACGGGCCTCTCTTTGCTCTTGTGTTTGAGAAGCACGAAGCCGCGTTCTCGTGCAATTTCTCGTTCTCCATCAGATAATTGACTCGCGATATTCCGTTGCCCAATTGCATTACGGCTTCGCTGGGAAAGATTAGATCTTCTAGGACGCGGCATTGTTATTAAAATGTGCACTCGCATAAAACCACCAAACTGATTTTTTTATTCCCTAAATTCCGTTCCTTTCCGATGATTTTATGTTTTTACTGTAGAATAAATCTTAGGTATTATTTCGGGAATTAAAAATTAAATAATTAATAAATAATTTTCGAAAGTAATGTCTAAAACAAACAAATATAACAGTACCTGAACTTTGAAGACATTTTACAAAAAATAAATTTCTGAACGCACATGATGTCTTCCGAAAAATATAAAGTTGTGGCTTAAAGGTCTCAGCAACCAGGCCATAAGCTCCAAAAAAAAAAATAGTTGTTACACTATTTGACAGGATTGGACAACAAATGTTTGACATGTAATAAACAAATCAGCATCTATTGAAATGATTAAGTATTCATTACACATATCGAGTTTTCATTGTTTTTAAGATGTATTCTGCTATTCGGGACGGAAACAAATCCAACAAGTCAAAAACCATGGCAATCGGTCCAGCCGTTCTCGGTTAAGTGTTGCATTACGGCTTCGCTGGGAAAGATTAGATCTTCTAGCGAGAAGACATTTTACATGTTCATCGCCTTGTCGCTCCCTTTCGTGACATATTTGCAAATGTATTTAATTGACTTGACCGAATTGCAATACTCAACATTACAATGTGCTTTGAATGTTTTGGAAAGAAGTGGCAAATATGGAACAATCCAACTGTGGTCAACTACGAAATCGTTTCCTTTCACTTTAGTTGTGATAGTTCTACCATTATCATCGGGTGATCGACGCCGATACAATGGATAACCATCGTTGCCTGTAATGGTCTCTGCCGTCAATTTTCGTGGATACCGTTTGGAACACTTGTCGACCATGCACGGTGATTGTCGGTTGATAGTCCACGATCCACGGTCCATGAATCATATTCGTGACTACAACATCATGTAGGTCTGGATCGGTTTCAGGAGCAGGAATCTCCGCACATATGATGTCATCTATTTGATCTGGCCGAATTCTTTCGACTAACCAAATCAGAATGTGAGCATGCGGTAGGCCTCGTTTTTGCCATTCGATTGAATACATCCAGCATCGAGTGTTCCCGAAGACGCGTTGCTTAACAATGTAATTCATTAGTGACCGAATTTTTTGCCTGTAAACACGTGCGGTGATGTCGTGTCATCACTTGATGTTTGTCCGGGAAGCAGCAATTGAATAATTTCTATCCATTTCGATTACATGTAAATGTAATGAATAGATCTGGCCGACCATAATGACGAACATATGTCATTGCATCTTGCGCATATTCATGCAAATGACGCGGGCTACCTATGTATGTCGCCGGTAAAATAGTCAATCGACCAACAAAATGCCGAATCGTCTAGCGCTGTCCGCATCATGAGGGACTGGATAGTTTTTGATGACGTCATATTTTTTGTCATCAGGCAAGATTCCTTTATCTGTGCATTTATGACCGAGAAAGGTCACTTCATGCATAAAAAATGAATTTTTGTGGATGTAACTTAAGGTTGTGTTTCCTACATACCTCAAAAATATCTTGTAAGTTTTCGAGCATATGTTTTTCAGAACAACCAATAACTATAAGATTGTCCATATATAGGAACGCTTGCGAAGATTCAAGTCCAGAGAATGCAATAGTCATCTCTGAAATGAATTTGGCGCTATTTTTAAACCAAAAGGTAGTCGCGTGAAGCGATATGAGCCATTGCTTGTTGAAAAAGACGTTATATTACGTGAACTTTCTTCTAGTTCAATTTAATGAAAACCTGACATTAAATCAAGGCATGAGAAGTATTTTGCTCTACCTAGTTGATCCAAAATATCATCAATTCTAGGTAATGGAAATTTATCTGTAAATTAACGTAAATTACCTTAAATGTCGGATTATATCCGTGTTCTTCGATAATTTCCGCCCCAAATTAAGTCATTTGAAAACAGACATTGTATTTTTGAATGTTCGCCAGATAATTGTCGTGATTCTAGCGTTTCGCCATAAAGCAGGGAGCACAATGGCTCTGGTGGCGGGACCAATAATGGCAATTTCACTTTACCACTATGGCAGCACAAGCCAGGCGTTTCACCAGCAAACTTCATTGCTCCACAATGCTGGAAAACAACGTCCATTGGATGCGTCCAATGCAAACTAAACGATGTAAGCTGTAGTCGATAGTGCAATCATACAGAAACGCTGCTCGATTCAAATCAATACTTGAACCATTTCTTCTTGCACTTCGAAGATTATTCCTCTGTTCATGTTGCGAAAAGAAATATATAATTTTGAATTTAACCCTTCTTGTACCGTACAACGAATATCGGATATTTTGTAAGTGTGACCGAAGTCAACACATTATGTATATTTTTGATTTAAGATGAGTTGGCAGTCATTATCTAGATGTCGACTGAAAATTGTGGTGTATAAAGATTGACGAAGCTGTAAAAAATAAAAATTGAATAAAAAGAAGTTGTCGGTGCACTATAAATTCTTGTTGGTTTATAAGAAATAACCCAACGACGACCAA